TGCAAGTATGGTCTGTATGTCTGGGGGATCATGTAGCAGGAGGGCAGATGGTGTTTATTCTCTTACAAGTCTATTCTATAATATTGGGGGCATTGTGATAAAATATCGCCTCCTGACCATACTCCCCATAATTTCATGATAATGAGTGGCTATAAGTAAAGTTTCCCAATATGTTCTTGTTGGGAAATTGATTCTAATTGAACCAGGTGAGCTACTTGGTACGTCAGCATTAAATGATGTCACTTTTCCAAAATATTGCTAAGTCAAGAGAAAGCTAATTAAGATAAACTTCACCTCCAGATACAGAAAAAATTGACCTTAAAAAACCCTTGGGAAGCACTTTTTCTACATGTAATACAAGTAGCTTCTTAATGGTATATACCTGCATTTTTCAGAATTGGAGTAATTAATCACTGATTCCTGCAAACAACCAAAAAAGGATATCACCCTCTCTGTTGAATTTATATTGTAGGGTTTTTAACATATGATCCACAGCAGGGGTGGTATTTGCTTACTTTCACTACCGGTTCGCAAATGTGAGCGTGCTTGCATGCTACTCTCTTGCGCATCTCCTCCATACATGTGTAGAGCCTTCTGTGCATGCACAGAGGGTCAAAAACAGGACTTGGTGGGCAGAACCTCCCACCGCAGCGCTACCGGATCGTGTGATCCAGATAGAGTCGTCTGAATTTCACTACTGATCCACAGCTTCTTTGGGGTCTGTGGATAATTTTCAGGGGTTCATGACTCTTCCAAGTCATGATACTTCCAAGCAAATTTCTTTATTGCTCCTCACCTATAGACAGAATCTTCCAAAGAAAAGCAGATTAACACCCCCATAAAGCATACACTCTGAGAACTATTAGAGAGGAGCTGTTTTAATCCTCTTTTTGTCACACAAACTATCTGAACTGAGTTGTCGTTTTGCTCCTCTGGAATGCCCTCCCGCCCTTCTGGGAATCCAGACTACATTCTATCGCAATTACTGTATTACATTTTTTATAATATTTTATAATTGAATTTGAGCATACTTATAATTTATAATACATTCTACATGTGCTTATTTTAGGCATTAAAAGACATTTTTTCAAGAAGAGATCTCTAGACTCTCAAATGGATCCATGACACAGAAATGTTATGAATCCCTGATGTACTGATAAACAACCTACACAAGCTTGAGGCTCTGCTGGGTCAAAATGGGACAACTTGCTACAGCCAACTCGCCGCAATCAACTCAACACAGCCAACTCACCACGGGACAACTTGTCACAGCCAACTTGCCATGAGACACCTTGCTGTGGAACAATTTAACAATTCTATTTAATTATTTAAAATAAATAAAAAATATTTTAATTTTTGCCATTCACATTTCATTCTTCCCCTCCTTTTGCATCCTTTCTTTAATGATTCTATTCCATCATTCCTTTGATATTAGTGTAACTCTTGTCCTGCAGTGAGTTGGCTGTGGCAAGTTAGCCGTGGTGAGTTGGCCATGGCAAAGTGGCCATGGTGAATTGTCATAGACCCCTTGTCAGATTAGAAAGCCATATTATACAAAACAATGCAAGAAGTATTGGGACAGAATATGTTGCGATTATATAATGAAGCTATGGAGAAAGCCAAAATACCAAATTCATGGACAGAAGCCATAATAACAATCATTCCAAAAGAAGATACAGATCTCCAGTTAATACAAAACTATAGACCTATTTCATTATTGAATGCCGATTACAAAATATTTGCAGCAATCTTGGCCGAAAGGATCAAATCAGTATTAAATACATATATACACCCAGACCAAAATGGATTTCTGCCGGGACGCCAAATAAAGAACAACATGAGAATAGTACTTAATGCTCTAGAATATTATGAATCACACCCGGAGAAGCAGGCAGTGTTGGTTTTTCTTGACGCCCAAAAGGCCTTCGATAATCAAAATTGGAAATTTATGATTGAACAACTACAAAATATGCAAATTGGGGAACAATTTGGGAAAATTATAGCAGAAATCTATACCAAGCAATCAGCAAGGATAATTATGAATGATGACATAACAGACAAATTTAATATAACAAAAGGAGTCAGACAAGGCTGTCCACTTTCCCCCTTACTATATATTCTATCATTGGAAATCCTGTTGAAAAAAATTAGAGAAGACCAAGGAATTGAAGGTTTAAGGATCAATAGAGAAGAATACAAAGCTCAAGCCTTTGCTGATGACCTAGTGTTTTTGACAGAAAATCCTATGGAATCTATACCTAATTTGTTCCAAAAAATAGAAGAATTTGGAGAAGTGGCCGGACTAAAAATCAATAAAAGTAAATCGAAGCTAATTGTAAAAAACCTTACGGAAATCCAAACAAAAGAAAGCCATATTAATCCCAGAAACGTCCACGCTGCCACCTTCTTGCGCTTGGGAAAATAGGAGTGGGGGATCTAATAGAGGGTTTGTAGTTAGACATAATAGCATTCTTCCCTTCGGTCAAGGTCATGGTGCTCCTGCATCTGGAGGAGGAGTGGTTGCAGTGATGGCTCAGGTTGGGACGGATGATGATTGGGCCATGTGATGGACTGATGGGTGCAGGCACCTGGATTTGGGATTTTGATTTACTGAGGGAAAACCCGGAACTATCAGATTCGGGTTTTCCCAGAGGTGCCAGTATACCTACTCTAATAAACAGGAACTTTGAGAAAATGCCTGTTTTGGAGTTTTTAATTGGAGTTGGGTTGTTCTGGAACACTGACACTCTTGCTGGAATGCCATATTCCTTCCAACTATCAAACCTTTTTACTTTGTAGAACTTATTCCAAATACAGTGTTTCTTGGGTATCTAGATTTATCCTGGAACTCCATAGAAAAATAAAACAGGGAAATAGAAGTTATATGATTTACAGATAGTGCCCAATTTACAATCACAATTGGGAGCAGAACTTCTGTTGCCAAGCTAGGCAGTTGTTTTATTATCTTTTTATCACTGTTGTTAATCTACGCTCTCTAAATCTAGTGCTTTTAAGTGTCAGAGATAGTTTTAAAGACAAGTTATGGTTATTCTTCACAGTTTTTAATACTGCCAAAACATTGTTAACACTGTAACTGTGATACACCGTGACTCTGAAAATTTGCAGGAAGAAAAAGTTAGAGAGTTTTGTAAATGCAGAATGAAAATCCGTTGACCAATAGAAATGGATCAAATATGCTTAAATTGTAGTTTAACATATCAATCTTGGTTGGGTTTCAGAATAGTTCCTTATAAAGGTATAGTAGATACTTACAGTGCTTTATAATTCCTGAGCTCCAGTCCTCGCTTTCCTTGATTATGTTTGAATTCACAATTTTCCTTGATTATGTTTGAATATAATATTTAATATAACACAAGTCAGAAAAATTCAAATCACTTTCATAATAATCTGGGCATTTTGGGGTTGGGGACAGAAGTGGAAAGTGTCATCATGAGATAATTCTGCTATGCTGCTTCTGGAAGCTACTTGCACTGCTCAAGATTGCAAAATTCTACAAGATTAACACATTAAAATTCAAAGTATATTTTGTAAGCAACAACAGTTCTTTACTGAACAGTGCCACCTGCAACTCTAAAAAGCTGTAGCTGATTCTTAGTGTTATAATGACAGTTTTAAGGAACAATGATACTGTCACTATTATCCTTTTACTGAAATAATCAATAATCAGTTCAGTCCTGTAGGGCGATACTGATATAACCAGCTTGTCTATGTATGTCAAAGAATATGAGAAAAACTTCCCCTCAGGAGAATGTTTAGGGCCCTACGTCTGACATATATTTCCACCACACAGTTGACTTTTAGCTCTGCCTGGCAGACTTCTGCTTTTCTATTTAATAAAAATCCTAAATGGATCAATGTTTTATATCATGTTCATCATAACTTAATTACCTTCAGTGAAGATTATGAGAATTAAGTGTTGTATGGTGCTGGATAAGCTTTAGAGTAATATCAAATACTTTGTTTATTGGCAAGTATTTTAATGAAAGGACACACACATATTGTTGTTAGCAATGATTTTTTTTTCTAAAATTGCTATAACACAAATGTTTTATTCTAGCTTTCTCCCACCTCCCTTTCCAGTACTAAAAGTGCAGTTTCTTTCATTCTTGTGAATAGATTTAAAATGATATACATTTAATCCAAACCATCCAAAGTCTTAAATTGTATGTATTTCCCCTCTCTTAACACTCCTAAATTTAATCCATGACTCCCTCCCCCCCCATAATGTGATTCAGAGAGACAGAGGGGAGGTTTGAATACAAAGTTTCAATGGGACATGAATGGTTTCAGCTGGCTTTTAATGAAACCAGAAGGAGGTCCAGTTTGGGCTCAAAATGTTGACTATACCGAGCAAAACTCCTGTGCAATGAATGAGTTGCTGTGTATTCCTAAAGTGATGTTTTTAGTTTCTTCCACCCTCCCTGCTAACTGACCAGTATTTATTGATCTTCATTTAGAAAAAAAAAAAAGATGTTGCATCTGCAATGCCTATAAAAACAACCACCCATAGCATTAAGTACTAGAACATGTTCTTCCTTATGCCTCAGTTTAAGTTTTTAATTATTTTTACCAAATCCTGCAGTTTGTTTTCTCCAGTGCTCTTATTTCCAATTGTAAAAATCAGCATAAAGACACTCATCCCTTTGTCAATGCAAATAAAGCCATTTCGGGTGTCCTAGTTTTTGAGAAGTTGGGGAAACTGCCTTAAGCATTTTCCTCCTATTCTTCTGTGGTAAATCTAGGTGCGTTTTAAAATATGACTTTAGTACAATTTCAGAGTAAAAGAACAGAAATCTTGAACCAGTGGCCGCCTCAGCCTGGTAGTAATAGTAAATTTTCTTCTTCTTCCACAGCTTCCATTCAGCCTCCTTTCAAGGCTTCTCTCTATTTAGAAGCAGCATTTGTCATCAGAGAAGCCCCCCTCCCCTTTCCACATTTATTTCCATGGTAACCGTTTTAAGGCATTCTGCAGACTGAAAACTACTTTTGCTTTTTTCATCATGCAGGCTGCCATTGTGAAGAGTTCACTGTATATCTACAGCTTCTGAGTTAATATAAAAGAATATGCAAGCAGTATGCATGGACAATTTGTTTTTAAGACGAGTTACTTATAAAGGAACTGCGGGGCAGCCTACATGCAACCCACTGTTATGTTGTTTACTAAAGGAACCACAATCTAAATTGATTAATTAATTGATTAACTTTGGGATAGATTTGATCAGAATGGATGTTGCATCCAGTCAGCTGGGCAATTTCCTGAATTTAGTTCAAGGAAAATCTGGCCAGATGGCTGGTTGTGTTTAAGCTGATAAATTGCTGGTAAGTGCTCATGCTGTGATGTATTGCAAATCTCTCTCTCTTTTTTTAATTGTACATTTGTTCATGTCTATCTAAGAATCATTTGAAAACTATGGTGTCTTAATGTCAGATTCTTTCGTGTTTAGAAATTTCTTTTTAATGTTAACAAAGGTGCAATCTGCTGTATTTGCTCTTTCAGATCTTGTGTGCACAAAATAACCTTTGAGTGCTATTTGTCTCTTGCTGCTTTTCTTTAATGGCATGTTTCACTTTATTGTTCTGTTTTTTAAAAAATGTCACATAGGTATTGATACTTTTCTTCAAAATTATAATTGGTTTAAGCTTATATTTTCAGAAGATGCAAAAATGGTAGACTGACATTTTTATTAGCTGTGTATTACTAATACAGACATACATACACATTACTGCTTATTGACGTTCATTGATTACATTTTTTTCAAAATCCAAGTAGATGTGTTAATAACTGAAAAAAAATAATGTACCTTTATTTGAATGTAAAAGCTGATATTGATTCTGTCCCTGGGATTTTATATCCTTTTCATTTTTTTGTTTGTTTATAAAACTGGAAGAATGTGTGGTTAGCTTGAATTATGGCAATATAAATCTACTGCTTTTCTAAAATTCAGAAGCAAATCATAATTGGTGAATCACCATGACAACATATTTTGTATTTCACCATATATTTTTTTTACAATTCCATGAAACCCTTGATGTTCTCGCATTCATTTTATAATGAAAAATAATAGAAGTGAATCATTTCATTATGGTCTCACAATCATTGATTCTTAAAGTACTACCGGTATATGTTGTTTCGTATACAATCTATCTTCTCAATTCTCTTTTGATAAGTGAATAGCACATTCGTTGGCAAATGTGAAAATAGTATGTATATGTGTGATTTATACAAAGGGCAGTTCTAAATTTTTGTGTTTTTAAGAATCAAGGTGTTTTCATTAGATATGTAAATAAACATACATAATGTGCAATAACTTTATGAACCAGGGTTCCTGCCGACTTAAGTGGTGTTGATGAAATGCTGTGGTGGCTGGATTTCCTGTTTTCTGCATCCCAGTGCCCTGAGGATATCTTACACCTCTCTGGAATTGATGAAAATCATAGTAATTATAAAATAAAATGCTGCTGCTTCTCTTACACCTTGGAGCATTATCTCGCCTCTGCCTCATCATCTTCTGTTTAGCATGGATCTAGGGAATGGAATGAGACAATATTTTAAAATGTGCCTGTACATTCAGTTTTGCTTTTATGTAAGTATTCAGTAACATGCACTTGTTCCTCTAGAAATCTTATGTGGCGCTTATTCAAGTATGTTTAAAAAAAAAGATAGGGCTTGTGAAAATAACAAAGGTGCTAGGGATAAAGATGTTGCAACAGCTGCACTAATGACAATATATTAAAAAGCATCAGGCCTACTGGTATTATACCAGAGTTGATACAGTGGCTTGGAAGACTATTTAAATTAGGATGATCAGAAATATTTTCAGAGGTGAAGTTTTTGTAACTGAATATTGTATGCATTTGTGTCATTTGTATTAGTATCACAATAAAAATTAGGATCCAGAAATTGTATCAGCTTGAAAAGAATTCTAAGATCTACAGTTCCAGGGACTGAAATTTGGGGAAGGCTTCAGTAAGAGCTGAAAATTTAATTTTTCTTTGAGTTTTTAGGCAGGAACTTGTGTTACTTTTGTTATTAGAAAGCAGAGGTGACCAACTATAGCTTATACATATCATGAAAATCTTAAGAAATTTCTAATACAATCTTCCATAAGTGCTTATATTTCCTTTCTAGGTCATAGTTAATAGGTAGAACAGTAGTATACCTCCAGCAGGGACATCCAGGGTTTGTTTCTCCACTTAACCAGAGACTTCTCAGGTGGTTTAGGTAAGACTCCATTGAAGGTATTTCACAGGATTGGGTGGATTATAATTTGGTGAGATGATCATGCCTTAATTTATCAAAATAAATGGATAAATAAATCCCTGTATACTCTTTTTCACAAGATTGTCCCACTCTTGAGTCCATAAAACATGGATATACTGGGGAAAGAGTGCACAAGGTTAGCATTACTAGGTAAGACAAAGGTAAACTCAAGAGTTGTAGTCAGGATCACAAAGAGATTTTTAGCCTATCTTCTACAGATTTTCCCTGAATTTATACCAGTGCTTCTTAGTTCCCTTGAGCAATTGGGGAAACTAAAGCATAGATCAGGATCACTGAAGAAGAGAAGAAACACCTGCTCACTGTACGGGGATTGCTGAATGGTTACATTGGTCTCCCCATCTCCAGCAATCTTGTATATTTCTGTACCATATGTTAACAAGCACATTATGTCATGACCCTCTAAGCAGCTTCACCCTCTTTTAAATGAACTGAAAGTGATTGAAAGAGGCGATTGTCATGGTCCAGCTTAAAAAGAGAAAATAATTCAATACCATTATAAAGGTTGTGAATTACAGGTCATATTTGGAACTGGTCAGAGTCCTAGGCATAGTATATTAGCTAGAGACACCAAATCTAATTCAGACACTGCCTTCCATGCAAAAATTCTATCTTGACAAATTCTCAGAAACTTGGATCCTGTTCATGTCTGATTATGCAGACAGCAGCCATCAACAATTTTACATGACTATACAGCATGCCAGCAAGGAGTAACATCTATATCTAGGCTGGGCCACAAAAATTTGCCAAGAAGAGCAGTAGTCTGGCAGTGGCCTTGCCTGACCCACTGTGTCTTTCAGCTGTGGTGTTTCTAGCCAGTGTCTGCAGTTGCCTTTTCATCCTCACACCCCATTGTGTTGAACAAGACAACAGGACTACAGGACTCACCATCTCCAGCTCTTGTGGAAGGATGCTGATTTAGAGACACCAAATCAGCAGGGAGGTAAGCCATAGCAAAGGAAGACAGGTTGGAAGGCTGGAGCTGCATGAGAAGAACGGGATCTGGCTGCCCTGCCCTGAAGGTTTCCCTGCCAGGTAAGGAGTGGGAAAAACAACAAGTGAGCAAGCAAAATTCCCTGCTTGGTGAAGAGGTAAAGAAGGATTCTACTAGCAAAGAGAGAATAGAGGAAAGAAACGAGAAAACGACTAAAAATGTTGTTTCTGCTCGACAAGGAGAAAGAACAAAAAGAAAGGTAGGATCTGAGCAGTTTTTATTGAGATGACCTTCCTAGATTATATTATCCTAAATATGATCTTGAAAAAAATATATCAGTTCGGTAATCTAATCTTGGAGTTCTAGTTCTTAAAAGAGCTGCTGTCTGAGTGGCTACAGTGAAATGACCTATTTTGCAAATAGCTGTGTTTCAGGTATTTTTTTCACTTAGCAAGTTTAAATTTAACAGCATACTCTTCATTTTTGAAAGACTAGAGATTTTTGCAAAAGGTTTCCTGTTGTACCTTTCAGGCCAACAATTTAGTGTTCAGGCAGCACGCAACTTAATGTTGATCTACATTAAATGGTTGGCTGAATTTCTTCTGCTACTCTGAGAATTATTTTTCACATTGGTATAATTCCAATGATTGTGGCCCTGTACTTTGGGATTGGAGAACCAATTTGTTCTGTTGATTTTATTAAATTAATCCACTGATTGCTTTGTAGATTGCCTGGACATTTTTGAGGACAGCTACGTCTATATATTTTAGGGATGTGGTGGCTCAGTGGCTAAGATGCTGAGCTTGTTGATCGAAAGATCAGCAGTTCAATGGTTCGAATCCCTAGTGCCGCATAATGGGGTGAGCTCCATTCCTTGTCCGAACTTCTGCCAACCTAGCAGTTCAAAAGCATGTGAAAAATGCAAGTAGAAAAATAGGGGCCATCTTTGGTGGGAAGGTAACAGTGTTCCATGCGCCTTTGGTGTTTAGTCATGCCAGCCATATGACCACCGAGACATCTTCGGACAGCACTGGCTCTTTGGCTTTGAAACGGAGATGAGCACCGCCCCCTAGAGTCAGGAACGACTAGCACATATGTGCAAGGGGAACCTTTACTTTTACGTTTATGTCAATATTTCGATACTTGATCTTGCATGATTTATGGAGTACTTCTTCTCAGTACTTTAATGTTTATTCAGAGTTGTTTTAATGACAGTGTCTATTAACTGGTTGCTCGAATAGTTAAAAAAGCACTATTTTTAAAAAAGTAAAAACAGTTACCCTGGTTAAATTAAGACATGGATGGCTAACTAGCAATATAAATGCCATTGTTGGCTAGGATAGGTGTTTTTTATGGACTGGAAAGCCATTGATGGCCTGACTGCATCTTACTTCTTTATTCCTTTTATGTAACCATTGTTCAGTAAATGAGGGGATAAAACAATTTCAAGGCTGAAGAACTAAATATACAATGGTGTACGTTCAAGGTATTCTTTAGAGTTTATTGTGCTATATACTTGCTAAGGGGTTGGACCATGGGTACCGTATTGCTAGGGTGGGAGAAGCTGACATATGCATTATTAAGTAAAAGTTAAAGATACCCACGGGTTTTAGTACTATAAATTATTATTTGTTGTTTTAATCGTTCAGTCATTGTCCAACTGTTGGCAACTTTATAGGCAAGTGCTCTTCATGCTACCCTGTCAAGCACAGCTTCTTTCAGTTCTTGGATGTTCATCTTTGTATCAGTTTTGATATTATCAAGCTAGCATGTTCTTTGCTTGCCCCTTCTTCTTGTTCTATTAACCATTCTAGCATCATTGACTTCTCTAATGAATTTACACACATGACATGGCCAAAGTAAATCAGATATTTTCTTGTGATTTTTGGCTTCTAGTGATATGTTTGGTTTGATACAATTCTGCACCTCTCTCTTGGTTACTTAGGATGTCCATGGTATATGCAATAATTTACACCAGAACCACAATTCAGAGGCATCAGTTTTTCAATCAACTCTTCTTAGTGTCCAACTTTCACATCCATACATTATCATAGGGAAGACTATTGATCAAAGTAGCCTGCTTTTTGTATTTATATCAATGTCTCTGCTTTTCCAGATCTTATTCATGTTAACCATTGCAGTGCGGCCTAAGTCTCTCCTACATTTAATTTTGGGATTAGAACTGCCATCATGAACAATTTTTGATCCAAGGAAGATCAATTCTCAGACTAATTCAATTTCTTCCTTGTTGATTATAAACATCTCATGTTGATATGCAGCTTGTTATTATCTTTGTTTTCCTGATGTTAAGCCTCAATCCTACTTTTTCACCTTCGTCCTTAATTTTCCAGAACATTTTTCCAGGTCTTCCTAATTTCCACTCGCTTACTTCAGCATACAGATTGGACAAAAATGGTGATAAAATACATCCTTAACTCCCTTACCGATCCTGTGTTACCATAGAGTGTTCTCACTGTTGCCTCCTGATCGGTGTATAGTGATCTGATAAGTCTAATCAGGTTTATGATCTTGGGATAGATACCAAGATCAGGCAAAGCTGACCATAGTTTATTGTTTTCTACCATGTCAAAAACTTTTCTGTAATTGATAGAACTCATATGTAGATCCTTTTGATATTCACTTGTCTTTTCCATAAACCATCTATTATTGGCAATGTGATCTCAAGATCCATGCCTCCTTCTAAAGCCAGCTTATACATCAGGTAACTCTTGACTTATGACGTTATACTATTGTTTATTTATTCATGCATTCATTGGATTTGGAAGGCTGCTCAACTCCAGAATGATTCTGGGAAGTTTACACAATTATAAAGGAAGAGAAAAACAGTCAGAATCAAACAATATCTAAAATTCTTATAAAAACTGTCATGGGCTCCCTAAGGGCCCAAACCAGAGGTGGGTTTCAGCAGGTTCTGACCAGTTCTGGAGAACTGGTAATGGAAATTTCGAGTAGTTCGGAGAACCAGTAGTAAAAATTCTGACTGGCCCCGCCCCCATCTATTCTCTGCCTCCCAAGTCCCAGCTGATCAGGAGGAATGGGGATTTTGCAGTAACCTTCTCCTGGATTGGGGAGGGAATGGAGATTTTACAGTATCCTTCCCCTGGAGTGGGTTGTGAATAGAGATTTTACAGTATCCTTCCCCTGCCATGCCCACCAAGCCATGCCACGCCCACCAAGCCACGCCTAAAGAACCGGTAGTAAAAAATTTTGAAACCCACCACTGGCCCGAACCCAAGC